ACATTTCCATCTTAGAACTGCTTTGGCCTGTATCCCATATTGGGTTGTTGTATTTTTATTTTCATTTGTCTCAAAGTATATTTTGATTTCTTCCTTGATCTTATTGTTAATCCTTTATTGTTTAGTAGCACGTTGTTTAGTCTCCATGTGTCTGTCTGTTTTTCAGTTTTCTTCTTGTAATTAATTTCTCATTTCATACCATTATTATCAGAGAAGATGCTCGATATGATTTCAGTCTTCTTAAATTTATTGAGACTTATTTTGTGGCCTAACATGTGGTCTCTCCTGGAAAATGTTCCATGTGCATTTGAAAAGAATGTATATTCTTCTGTTTTGGGGTGGAATGCTCTAAAAATATCTATTAAGCTCACCTGGTCTAATGTGTTATTTAAGGCCACTGTTTCCTTGTTGATTTTCTGTTTGGATGATTTATCCACTGATGTTAGTAGGGCGTTAAAGTCTCCAATTATTATTGTATTACCGTTGATCTCTCCCTTATGTCTGTCAATATTTGTTTTATATACTTAGATTCTCCTATGTTGGGTGCTTAGATGTTTATAAGAGTTATATCTTGTTGGGTTAATCACTTTATTATTTTTTAATGCCCTTCTTTCTTCCTTGTTACAGTCTTTGTTTTAAAGTTTATTTTGTCTGATATAAGTACTACCCCAGCATTTTTGGGTTTGTTTCCATTTGCATGAAATATTTTTTTCCATCCTTTATTTTCAGTCTAATTGTGTCTTTTGATCTAAAGTGGGTCTCTTGTAGACAGTATATGTTGGGTCTTTGTTTTGTATCCATTCAGATACGCTATGTTTTTTGATTGAAGCATTTAGTCCATTTACATTTAAAGTAATTATTGATAGGTGTGTGGTTATTGCCATTTTATTTGTTGTTTTCTGACTATTTTTGTGTTTCATGCTCTTATTCTCTTGCTCTCTTCTTTGTATGTTGATGACTTTCTATAGTGTTATGTTTAAATTTCTCTTTATTTCTTGTATATTTCTTTCAAGTTTTTTTGTTATTGCCATGTGCTTCATATATATCAAGCTATGTTTATAGCAGTCTATTTTAACTTAACGGTTGCTTAAGTTCTAACACATTCTAAAATTACTACATTTTTTCCCTCATCCCCCAACATTTTTGTTTTGTCATTATTTTTATCTCTTTTCTGTATACATTTGTATGTATCCCTTAATTTATTGCATTTACATATGGTCTTCCTACTTTCATCTTTTAATCTTTGTACTAACTTTATAATTGGTTTATCTGCTGCTTTTATTGTTTACCTTTGTCAGTAAAATTTTTTTCCTCTCTATTTTCTTATTTTTATTTTTGATCTTTTCTTTCTTCTTAAAGATGTCCCTTTAATGTTTCTTGTAATATGGGTTTAGCGGTGATGAACTCCTTTAGCTTTTGCTTATCTGGGAAACTCAATCTCTCCTTCAATTCTAAATGATAATCTTGATGGGTAGAGTAGTCTTGATTGTAGGTCTTTACTTTTCATCACTTTAAATATTGCTTGCCAATCCCTTCTGTCCTGCAAAGTTTCTACTGAAAATCTGCTGATAGTCTTATGGGAGCTCTCTTGTGTGAAAGTAACTGCTTTTCTCTTGCTTCTTTTCAGATTTTCTCTTTGTCTTTAACTTTTGGCATTTAAAAGTTAAATGGTGTGGGTGCCTTCAGGTTCATCTTGTTTAGGACTTTCTGTGCTTCCAGTACTAGTATGTTTATTTCATTTGCCAGATTAGGGAAGTTTTCAGTCATTAGTTTTTCAAATAGGTTTCAAATCCCTTTTTGTCTCTTCTTCTGGGAACCCTATGATGAGAATGTTGGTATGCTTGCTATTGTCCAAAAGGCCCCTTAAACTATACTCATTTTTTAAATTCTCTTTACTTTTTGCTGTTCTGATTGGGTGTTTTCTGCTATCTTGTCTTCCAGATTGCCGATTCGATTCTCTGCTTCATCTAATCTGCTATTGATTCCTTCTAGCATATTCTTCATTTTAGTTATTGTATTCTTCAGTTCTAACTGGTTCTTTTTTCTATTTTCTATCACCTTATAATGTTTTACCTGTCCTTGTTGAAGTTCTCACTGAGTTCATGTATTCTTATACCAAATTCATTGAGCATCCTTACAACTATTGTTTTTAACTCTTATCTGGTAGATTTCTTGTCTCCATATTGTTTAATTATTTTTCTGGAGTTTTTCCTGTTCTTTCATTTCTATAACTTGACAAATTATTCTAAATATGGACATGAAAATGTACAGGCCTAAGAACATCAAAGATATTTTTTTAAAGAAGAATAGGATATGAGAAGATTTATTCTTATTGTAAGGCATACCAATTAAGACAGTCTCGTACCAGAGCAAAGATAGACAAATATACCATAGGAGTCAAATAAAGAGCAGTGTGGAAAGCATCGTCTCTCTTTTTCTAAATAAAAGGTGCTTGATCAGTTGAATGTCCGCTTGAAAAAAAAAAATGAAACTTTACACTACCTTGCACCCTACACAAAATCAATTCCAGATTGATTGGATATAAATGTAAAAGGCAAAAAACAAACAAAACTTAACACCTCACCCCACAAAAAGAAACCCAAAAGCAAACTACAAGATAATATAGAGGACTATGGTCATGAGCTTGGGCTAAAGAGAGACTTCTAAAACAGGACACCAGAAGTACTAATCATAAATAAAAAGATTGTTAAATTTGAGTATATCAAAATTAAGAATTTCTGTTTATCAAAAGATAACTCGAATTTAAGGATTTAAATGTAAGACCTGAAACAATAAAATGCATAGAAGAAAACATGAGAACTAAACTCCAGGACTTTGGGCTTAAAGAGGATTTAAGAATTTGATCTCAAAAGCAAGGGAAGTAGAAGCTAAAATAAATGAATGGGACTATATCAAACTAAAAAGCTTCTGCTCAGCAAAAGAAACCATCAACAAGGCAAAGAGACAACCATCCGAATGGGAAAATATATTTGCAAGCAATGCCTCCGATAAGGGCCTAATATCCAAAATATACAAAGAACTCATACAACTCAATAACACATACAACTCAATAACAACAACAACAAAAAAACAAATGATCCAACCAAAAAATGGGCAGAGGACCTGAACAGATACTTCTCCATAGAGGATATACAAATGACCAAAAAATATTTGAAAAAATGCTCAACATTGCTAGCTATTAGAGAAATGCAAATCAAAACCACAATAAGATACCATCTCACACCTGTTAGAATAGCTATAATCAACAGAACAAGTAATAGCAAATGCTGGAGAGGATGCAGAGAAAAAAAGAACCCTAATATTAAGAATTGATCTACCATATGATCCAGCAATCCCTCTACTTGGTATTTACCCCAAAGACTTGAAAATCTATATCTATAAAGTTATTTGCACACCAATGTTCATAGCAGCATTATTCACAGTGGCCAGGACATGAAAGCAACTGAAGTGCCCTATGATTGATAATTGACTAAAGAAGCAGTGGTACATATATACAATGGAATATTACTCAGTCATAAGAAGAGATGGTATATTGCCATTTGTAACACATGAATGGACTTTGAGATAATCATGCTAAGCGAAATAAGCCAGACTGAAAAAGTAGAAAATCACATGGTATCACTTATATGTGGGATATAAACCTAACAGCAACAAATGAACAGGACAAACAAACAGAGACTCATGGACATGGACAATGGACTAGTGGTTACCAGAGGGTAAGGGGTGGGGGAAGGGTAGAGGTAGACAGGGTAAAGGGGGTCAAATATGTGTAACAGAAAGAAATCTAACTATGGGAGGTGAATACACAGTGTAAATACATATATGCGTGACCGTTAAAGTGTATAGCTGAAACTTGGATTTCGTTAACCAATGTCACCGTAAAATAAACAAACAAACAAATAAATAAATAAATAAATAATTTTTTTAAAGATTGAAAAAATGGATAACTTTAAGGGATAAAAAGGGAAAGCACAAAGTAGGATAAGATACCTGTAACAAACACAATCAACAAAGAGCTCACAATCCGAATATATAGAAAATTGTCACAGGTGAATGGAAAAAAAAAAGACAAGTAATACAATAGAAAAAGAAGCATTTCCAAATGACCAATAAATAAATAGAAAAGATATGCAACTGCTTTAGTAATCAGAAAAAGCAAATTGAAACTGCAATGATTTATTACTGATCACTTATCAAAATGGCTGATGCTAATAAGACTGACAATACTAAGTGCTGGATATAAGTAGAAAAGATGTGAAACAACTGGAACTCTGATACACACTGCTGTCGGGAGTGTATATTTGTACAATCACTTTGGAAAATTGTTTGAAATAATCTACTAGAGCTGAGCAAACACACACTTTGTGATCCAGTAATTTCCATCTGGGTATGTCTCAAGAGAAATATGTGTATACGTGCACAAGAGACATGCACGGAGTCTCATAGGAAAATTTTTTGCAATAGTTACAAGCCAGAAACAACTTGAATATCCATATCCACCCAGAATGGGTAAATTGTGGCATTTCATATAATGGATACCATACAGCACTGAAAACAAACTACAGCCACACAACAACAGCATGGATTAATTTCACAGTCATACTTTTGAGCAAAAGAAACCAGATACAAATGAATAATTACTACATGGCTCCCTTTATATGAAGTTGTAAAAGCTGACAACTCTAAACAAAAGTGTTTCATGATTCATGTTTAGTGTAAAATGATAAAGAGAAGTGAGAAAGTCATTATCATAAGTGTCAGAATAATACTCCCTTTGTGGGGAGTAACAGCTGAGGGAAAGGAAGGGGGCCTTCTGGGTTGCTGCCAATGTTTTAGTTTCTTAAACCTAAATGGTAGGTACGGGTTTGCTCACTTCATGATAATTCACTGAGTTGTATGTGTTTTGTTTTATACAGTTGTATGTGTGCTATATTTACAATAAACAATAAAAAGGTTGTTCTTTTTCTCCTATTCCATACCTGGTACAGCATAAAACTCAGGGGGTCCTCTGGCCTTTCATAGACTAAGTTTTCAGTGATCTGCTGAGAAAGATCATAAGGTATCGCGTTACGGTTCTGAGCTGAAGTTATGAGGTCAGTTTTATCTGGAGTTATATCCGAAGTAATCTTTTGCACTAACCTACCATGTACCACAGCATTTTAAAAAGATTCATTTACCTCTACAAAATGTCAAATAACTTTCTCACTACTGATAAAATTAGGCAAAGTAAGGTAAAATTTGGAGGAATAAAAATTTAGTAATAAGTAGCAATGGAACTCTTTTAGTTTCTAAGATCAAAGAAGTAGTGAGAAAATTTGGGGGACATTTCTATTTTGAGAATTGTCATTTTACTATACTGAGAAATTAATGTTATATGCTTTGAAGAACAGTCAGAGAAAAGAATTTTGAGTGAAAATTTTAAAAGGCTATATGATTTTATATAGAATTTCTTTCTGAGGCACTTGATTCTGAAAGGTGAAAATTATTGTGATATTTATCGTTTGTCATAATAAATGAGAAAGCATATATAAAACTTCAGAGATTTACTAATATATCTTTTTGTTGTTGAATAACCTCCAAAATTATAACAAGAGAAGTAGAATTCTCACTTACAAAGAATAGCAATAGGGCAAATTTTAGTTGTAAAATATTCAAGGTCTGTTTAATGTCCCCGACCAATTAGTATTTCATATATGTTTCTACTGAATATATTATTTGATAATTAATTTTTCTTATAACAACATTGAATGCATAAGCATTGTTTTTCTTTGACAGATGAAAACATTTATTTATAGAATGATTAGAATTCTACTTTTTTCAACAGCTTTCATCCTTCAATTTAATTAGTTGCTCTTTGATGCAAGCCAGAAAACCCAGCCATTAGTGCTCTCCCACAATGGGACATTTTAAGAAAGAAAAGTCATAGAGCAGAGTTAATGAAGTAAATATCACTTATCCCTATTTTATATGAAGAAACTGAGATTCACAGAAGTTATGTAATTTTCCCCAAAAAATGAAGATGAAAAGTGACAAAGTTAGGTTGGAGCTTTGGGCTAAATTTGCAAAGTTTGTACTCTTTCTACCATACCCTACTTCTTTAAATTTACACTTTTCCATTTTGAATGTTTTCATTTGAGGTGGGCCATTCTTATTTCACACCATTCTAACTACAAAGTTACTTTATGTACTCATGTATTATATACACATATGTACCTTACTGGATAATAATATTAACATAAAAATAAACATGTCAGGAACACCAAACAACAAACATTTTATAAATGTGGTAATTTCTTATAATTCTATATTGGCCAAGGATATTATACTTTAAAGAAGGTTCCAGCCCCATATCCTGAGGTCAATAAGATTTGGAATTTCAAGAATTAGAAGCAACGCT